TATATATATATATAATATCTGCTGCGGCATGCAGCCCGATCCTATCAATATCACTCACAATCCGACCCTCGGGCCCCAACTCAGTCATCAATCTCTCCAGTCTCTCAGCCTCACAAATCTTATGCCAATCAGCCCAAACAATGATAACTTTTTGTGACAACAAATGATAACAGAGTCTGAGATACGATATGCAAATGAATGAATATGACTGAGTATCTAACTTCAATTTAAGCAAATTCTCAACAACATAAATGACCTCAGTTGGCCCCAACAGAATAAGCATATAGCCAAAACATGGTTTCTAACATGGATCACAGTTAAATTATTCAATCACGTATAAATTTCATAGATAAATACAATATTAAGTAACTACACATTACCACAGAATTAACCGAGCAATAATTCACATGGTGCACGCCCACACACCCGTCACCTTGCATGTGCGTCACCTCACACCAAACACATAACACGTATATTCAGGGATTCATACCCTCAGCACCAAGTTTAGAAGTGTTACTTACCTCGAACAAGCCAAATCCAATACCGAGCAAGCCAAGCGATGCTCCAAAAATGCCATCCCGCGTGTACCAACCTCCAAACGGCTCGAAACTAGCCAAAAGTAACTCAATACATCAAATAATGCCAAAGGAAACAAACCCAATCGATAAAGGACAAATCTTTAGTCAAATGCCCAAAATCAACCCAAAAGTCCAACCCGTGCCCGCGCCTCGAAACTCGATAAAACATATAAAATCTGACAATCCATTCAATTACGATTCCTACCATACTAATTTCACTCAAATCCAACTCCGAATCGATCTTCAAAACTTAAATATTCGCTTTATGAAATTTTAGACAAAATCCCCCAATTTCCTCTTTAAAATTCATCAACCATTTTCCAAATATGAAGATAGATTTGCAAACTATAATAAAAAATGAGTGTAGAACACTTACCCCAATCCACATGATGAAAATCACTTCAAAACTCGCCTCATTCCGAGCCCCAAATCTCAAATTACGATAAAAGAACCAAAAGCCTCGATTTAATACTGTTCTGCCTAGTGTTCGTCGCATCCGCGACATCCCAGCCGCTTCTGCGGAGTCGGTTCTGTGACTAACTTTTCGCTTCTGCGATACCCACTAACCAACTGACCCCTCGCTTCTGCAATCTCCTACCTGCTTCTGTGCTCATTGAACCGCATCTGCGGTCGCGTAGATGCGCCCATGCACCCGCACTTGCGACTCTCACACCCAACTGTCCCTGTTTGCTTTTGAGAAGAAGACCCCGTATCTGTGACATCGCTTCTGCGATCAATTGTCCGCAGATGCAGCCACACCAGAACCAGCAGCCTTAGCCAAATGCAACATGCAACGAAATGGTCTGAACCTCGTCCAAAACTCACCCAAGCCCCTTAGGACTCCGTCTAAATATACCAAGAAGTCCCATAACGTAACACAGACCTACTTGAGGCCTCAAATAACACATAACTACACCGAAATGATGAAGCGCACCTCAAATCAAACTTAAATAAACTTTGAACTTGAAATCTCCAAAACTCGTGCCAAAACGCATCAAATCAACACGGAATGAACCCAAAGTTTTCACACAAGTCCCAAATGACATAACGAAGCTATTCCAATCCCTGGAACTACAATCCGAATCCAATATCCATAAAGTCAACTCTCGGTCAAACTTATGAACTTTTCAAGCCTTCAAATTTCCAACTTTCACCAATTAGTGCCGAATCCATCTAAGAACATCCAAATGCAAATCTGGGCATATGCTCAAGTCCAAAATCTCCATCCGGGCCAAACGAAACCATTAAAACTCTGTTCCGCAGTCAAATTCACAAAATTCAAACTTAATCACCTCTTCCAACTTAAAGCTTCAATCATGAAATTCATTCTTCCAAATCGATTCTGAATAACCTGAAAACCAAAAATGATGATACACTCAAGTCATACTTCATCATACGGAGCTACTCATGCCCTCAAATCACCGAGCGAAGTTCAAATTCTCAAAACGACTGGTCCGGTCGTTACACATTGATTGCGAGGCTCGAATTAGCCCGGGGACTTGACTTTGAGGTCATCGAAATCAAATGCGACTCATAGCTTGTGGTAAATCAGGTTTGTGGGATCTTCGAGACCAAAGAGGAGTGCATGCAACAATACATGGTAAAGGTTGAGACTCGGTTGGCTCGATTTCGGGAGTGGTCAATTACTCATATCCCAAGGGAAGACAACGCAGAAGCATATGCATTAGCAAACCTAGTATCATTGACAGAAATAAAGGGATCGAAGTCCGGGATGATAATACAACTGATGAACTCATTCTTGAATACAAATGGTTACTATGAGGTAAATTCGACTAATTTGGTCTGGGATTGGAAGAATGAAATCATTGATTACCTCGAACACGGGAGGCTTCCTAAAGACCCCAAACCATCTTGGGTGCTGCGCGCCAAAGCAGCGCGATATAGCTTCAAGAGAGGCCAAATGTATAGAAAATCTTTTCAAGGCCCGCTGGCCCGATGCTTAGGGGCATCCGAAGCTAACTATGTCATGAGAGAAGTTCACGAAAGGATATGCGGCAACCACTCAGGCGCAGAGTCCTTAGTGCTGAAGTTGGTAAGGACAGGATATTATTGGCCCTTTATGGAACAAGACGCCAAAGACTTCATACGGAAATGTGATAAGTGTCAACGCTACGCACCACTGGTGCATCAACCGGCAGAGCCCTTAAATTTGGTTCTGTCCCCGTGGTCGTTCATGAAATGAGGGATGGACATCGTCAGACCACTGCCACCGGCTCCTGAAAAAGTAAGATTTCTTTTAATTTTAAGTGACTATTTTTCTAAGTGGGTGGAAGCAGGTCCTTATTAGAAGATCGGAGAACGTGAAGTGGTGGATTTCTTGTGGGAAAATATAATTTGAAGGTTCAGAATACCAAAAGAGATAGCATGCGGAAACGGGCCACAGTTGATCGGCACAAAAATTACAAAGTTCCTCCAAGATTTAAAAATAAAGAGGATCACATATTCACCCTATCATCCAAGCACAAACGGACAAGTGGAGTCGACAAACAAAGTGATTATTCAAAACCTCAAGAAAAGGTTGGAAGCGGCTAAGGGTAACTGACCCGAGGAATTACCCGGAGTTCTATGGGCATACCGGACTACGGCCAAGTCGAGCACAGGGGAAACAACTTTCTCCCTCGTGTATAGTGCAGAAGCTTTAATCCCAAGGGAACTAAGGGAACCCACCTTGAGATATTTACAAGCAGATGAAAAATCGAACAACGAAGCAATGTTAGTCAACTTGGAACTGCTCGATGAATGCAAGGACTTGGCGCATGTAAGAATGGTAGCTCAAAAGTAGAGAATGGAGTGGTATTATAACCAAAGATCCAACCTCCGTTATTTGAAAGTAGGATATTTGATCCTAAGGAAAGTAACTCAAAACACCCAAGATCTCAATGCGGGGAAGCTAGGTCTAACGTGGGAAGGCCCCTATCGGGTTTCAGTTATTACCGGGAAAGGTTCATACGAGTTGGAAAACCAAAATGGAGAAAAGTTGCACAGCAATTGGAATGTGACACACCTTAAAAGATATTATTGCTTATGAACATTATCCGATCAAAAAGTATGTGCTGCACTCTTTTTCCCTTCGTTTAGTTTTTGCCCTAGTTGGGTTTTTGTAGCAAGGTTTTTAACGAGACAGCAACAAAACGCATACTACGAAGACAACAACAATAAGACCTTTAATAGCAAGGAACACAAGCAAAGATCCACTCGGGGATAGTTAGATAATCTTTTGTTCTATAGCAAATTCCCACAGGGAAGTTAAGTGTGCTATTGAGCAATGGTTAACCAATCGTTCACTAGCACAAACCACTAGAGGGTTGTTAGATAGTCCTTCGCTCGATAGAATAAATTTCTAAGGGGAAGTAAAGTGTGTTACCGAGTTAAGGATTATCTATTATTTTATTTGNTATGAGGATACGGCAACAATGACTGCCACATCGTTCAGGAAACAAAAAACTGGAAATATAACTGGATCATCTGGACCGGGGACTGCGCGGCCAGCCCCGTAGAAACAAGTTGTACAAGTTAGTTACAAGTAATGGCAATTTCTTTTCAGCATAAAAAATGCTTATCTACTTTTTGAAAATAGAAGGAATAAAATGAAGTCCTTTTGTTTTTATCTTGTTTCTTGTTTGAACGATGAATTAACTTTGTCATTTTAAAGTTAAACAAGTACTTCAAATGCTAATGCCGTAATGAATAGGAGACATCCTCTTCAAGAGCACCGTAAATATAAGAAGGCCCTTTCTTAGAAAACCCTCACGTTAAAGGATTCGTTGCAGAAGAATTTATGCCCGAAATCAAAATGCCTTCAGGGAAATATACACCCGAAGCCGTATATGAAAGGAAGCAAAAAAGTAAACTTGAGCAAATACTTATCAAAGCCCTCACGAAAAAGGGCTGATGCCAGAGCTAAAAATGTATTCGGGGAGAATACACCCAAGGCTTCACATAATAAGATGAAAAACAGAAAAGCTTGCGCAAAATTCTTAAACAAAAGGAAGAAAATGCAAAGATTAAAGACTTGCATGGATATTCAAATGTAAGAAAGACTCAAATAATACTTGAGAAAAAGATATTTTTATTTATAAAAACATGTCAAAACGGCACAGGTACAAGAATTGGAAAATGAAAAGAAAAGCTAAACAATAGTATTTCCGGTACCAGGAGGAAGAGAAGTGTCCGCGCCCCCGGAAGAAGTAGACGGACCCATCGATGGTTCAACATTTTCATCAGTTTAGCCTTCAACATCATCATCCTTTGATTCTTTTTCAGTTCCCGAGAACTCAGAACTGGAACCTGAAGGACCAGGTGCATCAAACCTCGTTGGGAGTCCACTTTTAGCAACTAACTCAAGCTCATGGACCTTAGCAATTTTGGCATCAAAATCAATGACACCAACTTGGCCTCTTCCAACGTTTTTCTCCTCATACTGTACATAGCATAAGTTTTCTCAATAACGAGGGAAGACACTCGGTGCTTAAGTTCTTCTTTGAGTTGGGTTACCTCGGCAGAAAGGTTTTCTCGGATGGACCTAGCAGATTTGAAGCTAACATCAAGGTCATGTACAGTTGAACTAAAAAGCCTAAGATGCTCGATAGTTTTCCTGTACATCTTTTCCAGCTGGGCGTGTTTCGCCCCAGTAGTAGCAAGCTCTTCAATTTTGGAGTTCAAGTCTGCCTTTAAGTTGATCACTCTTTCAGCAGAGGCAGCCTTGCGTTCGGTTGCAGCAAGAACGACGTTATGGACTTCAGCCCATTTGGCCCTGGCTTTGTCAAATCTAACCCTCAGCGGGCCAATTTCTTGACTAAGGGTTACCACTTCTTGATTTCTTTGCCGCAAACGAGCCTCCAATACAACAACCTCAGTAGCTTTGGCCTCCAGTTCCGAAAGGCGAGTGACATGTTGCTCCTGCTCTGCCAAAACCTGATCCTGTGCGGAGGTAATCTCTTCCTTTTCACGAATAAACATCTGAAGGCCCTCGGACGCAAGAAAGTTGGCCTACAAAGTAAGAAGGGTAAAATTCAGGATATGTTCATACCCAAAAATAGAAGGAGTAATAAAAGAAGAAAGGAGCGTACCGCTGCAGCATTGTGCATGGCGTTGTTCAACAAATACTCCCCCGAGAGTGCCTGAATCTTTTCAAAGTCCTTCTCTGAAGCCAAAAGCTTCTGATAATTAGCAAGATCTACCGGTCGGGATAGCAAGTTGCATCCGGTAGAGACCAAAAGAGTAACATTCCTCCTCCTTTGTGGATCTTCAAAATGGGCAACATACTTTTGCCCCAAATTCCCATGAACCGGGGACTGTGGAAGAGGAACACCTTCTTCGTGGTCATGTGCAGCCGGTGGAGATGATGTAGCAATTGCTGGTGGAAGAGTGGATGAATATGGAAGTGATGTAGCAGTTGCTGGTGTTAGTGAAGATGGAGATGAAGCTGATGGAGTTGACGAGTGAGAAGCAGCTGCATCAATTGCAGTGATGGTTGTTGGATGCTCGCCAACCAAAGACGGCAGGGACCCGGTACTCAGCCCCGCAGTACCGGGCTCGACAGTTGGGGCCCGAAAACGGGTGTTGACATTATCTACCAAATCAAACTCTCCCCAAAGTGTCGAGCATCGTCCTCGGTTGGTGTAACTATCCCAACAGGTCGAGCATCCTGTTGCGATGATGAGGATCATCGTCTTATATGTATAGAAACTCCCTCATCACTAGATTCTTCATCATCGTCGATCGTCACGGTGTCTATGACCGACTCAGAGGGAGGGCCAATCACCATCGATACCGGAGATGACTCGGGGGAATCGGTCCTCGCCCACTTATTCTTTTCCCCGATTGCGGAGAAGCGTCTTCCCTTTGGTTGTTTGTCTTCCAGTCGGGGACTCCGTAAAGAAACATTTGCTTTACCATGATTGTCTTCTCTTTGGTTGTAGGACCAGAGACACCTGTTTGAGTAAGAACCTCCTGAAGCAGCCTCGCTGCTTCACCAGGATCAGCCAAGACATCCTCCTCGGGAACATCAACAGAGCCTGCGGGTAGACCGAAATTCATAGAAAAGTTAGAAGGGATCAATCGAGTTCTTCACTTGAAAAATTGAAATAGGGTGAGTTTCAATTACCATGATTCTTGGCCTTCCACCCGTATTTAGAGGCCAGTTCTTTTCACAAACGAGTCTCGGGCATCGTAATATCCAAGATCTTTTGTATCCACCGATCCAAACCTTCAACCACTGATGGGATCCATCTAGTTACTGAAACAAACGAAGGATGGAGGATCAATACGGCTATAGAAATATATTTAGTAAAAGTAAACATTCAACAAAGAGCTTACGAGTGTGGTTCCAAGCAGCCGGAAAGGATGGAGTCGTTACCGAAATGATGTCGTTAGTGGCAGCTGCAACGAACTGCTCCATCCACCCACGGTCATTGTCATCATCCATACTAGACAACAGATCATGGTGGCCACGCTTGCATAGGTTTTTCATTCCCCCGCTGAAGATTTTGGGAGAATAGAGATTCATCATATGAGCTAAGGTTAGCTCCTCTCCAGTTTTCTGGCACAAACGCTGAAGGCAAGCAACCGTCCTTCACACATGAAGGACTTACTTGTGTCAAACACACTTGGTAGCGAAGGCAAAACTCTGCAATCACAGAGTCAAGCTCTCCGCTCGAAGATAACGCACCCAAAGTAAAGGAATACGTGTAAAAATATGTAAAACCCTCCTTGGGTAGGGTGACTCGCTCCGATAGATCAGGAGCAATAATATCCAAGTCATGGCAGTGACAATCTTCCTTCATAGCAGGAATGCTAGAAGGACGTATGAAAGAAGGATACCTAGTGACGACCCATGTATGAGAGTTAGCAGTAGGGAATTTCACTTGGAAGTCTTTTGTGGTAATAAGACTTCTAGGGATGATGGAGCCCACTGTTAGAGGAGCAGAGTCCTCGACCTTGTTCTTGCTCTTTGAAAAATCGGTACGCTTTGAGAAAGAAGCCATTGTATGGAAGAAGGAGAAGGTTTTTGTTTGAATAGAATTAGAGAAAAGATGAAGAGCAAGATGCAAGTTAGACAAGGGAAGCTTGAAAAATTATGAAATATAAGGGAGAAGGTTGATATGTATAAGTAAAAGTTTTGGCGGCTAAACTCATGGCCATGATTACCTCGATAATCGGCAAAGGTTGTGCTGAATCATGGGATGACGTGTGTTCGGGGCATTAAATACGGAGAGACGTGCGTCTAATAAACCGTTAGAAGCCTTCAGAGGGAATTATAGTAATTCTTGCAAAAAGGGTGTTTCTACCAACTTCCCGGTAACACAAAGTTATGTCACCGGAAAGCAGGGGGACTATCTGTATAGGGTAAAATATGCAGATGACACGTAGCCATCAAAAAAAGGGACACGTGGAACCCAAGATGGGGGAATGACCAAAGACCGAAGGTAACTGTTTCGTTTGTCATCGGAAAGAATAATGCTCATAAAGATGTGATAAATGATCTTCGCCCGGTAGCATTTAATAGAGAATATCCCATGGCATTAAGAGCAATTACACGTTACAGGAAATTTGATATTTATGTTCACCGTTACATCTTCATCAGTGTCCCTCATAATTGACATTAAAGAAGGGCACGATCCTAGGACCTCCTTCCCTAGACATAGCTATAAATAGTGAGCTCAGTTATCATTGTAAAAGAGACGAATTTTCTGGCAAACTTACGCTACATTCTATACAAAGCTCAATACAATCTTATCTTCTGACTTTTTGATTTCGTTGTTGTTGTGCCCGGAAGCCGTATTTCCGGAACTGTTGCTTATGTTGTTTCGTCTACATCCTAAGGCTAAGTATTGCATAATTCTTCGATTATTTTATTATTTCAGAATCAAAATAATTCATTTATCTAAAAATCTCGTATAAATTTTACTGTACCGTTTTACGGTTAAAGAAGTAGTAAGATACGTACAAAGCACCGCACCCATGAGAACTGAGTTCAATTCCATCACTTTTGCCATTCCAACAGTCAACAATTGAAGTTGAACACTTAGAGCTTGAAAAGCTGTAAAGAGGAAAAAAGAAAGGAGTATTGAGCTGATGATGTTTCTGAAGTGCAAGATATAGAGCCTTTTTATAAAGCACTGTGATCATAACATCAACCAGTAAGTCTTTGTAATAGAACTAAACTTAGCAGTCAGCTTTTATTAAATGGTATCCCATGTAAAGTTAATCTCTGCATGTGGTATGTTTATTTAAAAATTCCACAGCCAATTAAATAAATCGGTTCCCCACGTACTTGATATTTGAACTACGCTTATAAATGAATTGTATGACAAATCTTCTTTAACTTGGTTACGAAAAATGTTTTTGACTATGTGACTCTTGCTTTCTAATTTTGGACCACATTTATGTTTTGCAGGACAAAATATTAATGCCCGGCCATGCATGTGACTTGCACGTCTTGTAATAAACCGAATGATCTGGATTGGCAGACTATGATTATGATATATTGGGATTAATATGGTTTATCAAATTTGAAGTTGAAGAAGCAGTTGATGAAAATAAGCTTAGGGATATTTCTAGCCGTCAAAAAAAAGAGGTTAAAATCGTACTATATATATATATGTCCCCTCCCGACATTTCTTGTTTAGTTCTTCATCTCTGTTATTTGTAAATACACTGTTAAATTGTACAAGTTGATTTGTAGGTGCCTTGCCTTAGCCTCGTCACTACTTCGTCGAGGTTAGGCTCGACACTTACCAGTACATGGGGTCGGTTATACTGATATTGTACTCTGCACTTTCTGTGCAGATTTTGATACCGGCTCGGGTTGATCGAGATTTTGCTATTGGTCTGCTGTCCGGAGACTCAAGGTAGATCTGTCGGCGTTCACAGACCTTGAAGTCCCCGTCTATCTTTTCTGTTCTACTGTTTCTTTCATTCAGACAGTTGTAGTTCTTTTAGACTATTACTTGTAGTAAATTCTAGAATGCTCGTGAATTGTGACTCCAGATCCGGGTGGTAGTAATTAATACAGTTTTATGATATTCCGTACTTATTATATTTCATCTTAGTTAAGTATTGTTAATTACTGAATGGAAATAAGGAATTGGTTAATGATTCTCTAACGTTGGCTTGCCTAGCAAGTGAAATGTTAGGCGCCATCACGGTCCCGTCGATAAAAAATTTCGGTTCGTGACAAGTTGGTATTAGAGCACTAGGTTGCCTAGGTCTTACGATTCATGAGCAAGCTTAGTCCAGTCTGGAGGATCGGTACAGAGACGTTTGTACTTATCTTCCAGAGGCTATGAAGTTTAGGATTAAGTTTCACTTCTATTATTCTCTGTCATGCGATTTTGCTTTCTCAATACTGATTGAACTCTTCTACTCTTATTCTCTCGCAGATGGC